AGACAGACGCCAACAGAATTACAAAAAGCCGGGATACGGAAACTTTACACGAATTTATGTCGTGCAATTATATAAAAAAAAAAGACAAATCAATTACTATTCGTCTTGTTATATCTTGTCTTTGATGTATTTTTCAGATGATCCACAGATTTTTAAATTACCAGAAAAGGTTACAAAAAAATATACTTTGATTTCTGATTTGGAAATCTTTGAGATATTCTAGCCACGTTCATTGGTTCATTGCCAAATTTCAGGAAAATCAAATAAAATATTTCATTAGGCATGCATCTGATCAATACTATTACAATGATAAGTGATCGTATGTTATGAAGATAAATATTTTCTGCAGAGTGCATTCTGTCGCCGAATGGTACCTGTCACTCTGATGATATCCTAATATTGATTCAGTTCATCAAATGTTTAGCCTCCAATTAATGGCATTTTATACTAATCGTCCAGGGGAATCTGCATTATGTACTATGGCAATTATCTATAGACCCATTTGGACAGATAAAGCCCTGCTGGTTTAGAGTACCCAGCAGACTGTCTGTATCATGGCTGAAACACATTTTAGTCACGAGTTTTTATTTTTATTTCCCTACTTACTATTGTATTTTCTTGCAGAGAAGAGCAGTATCTATTTTATAGGCATAGTTATAATTTATTATTACAATATTTATAAGATAAATCTCTCATCAAATGAGTATAATTAACCACTTTTATTTCACATTAAAATATTAAGGATGGACAAGCTTTGTTTCCTCGTTACCATACTGCATTTAAATAGGAGTATATATATGGTGTCCATTACGATATCACGTTTCTGTTTTCAAGATTTTTTTTTTGTCATTATGTTTTGAAAAATATAATACGGTTATGCAGGTACATGTACTCCTTATTCAAATCAGCTTCATAGTTACCTAGAAGTTGTAATTTTAATTTTTCAATTTCAGAATGAAAATTTTGCACGTAAAAAAATACTTTTTTAGAATCTCGAGAATTAAAATGAAAAAAAGTTCAGGAAAGAGTTTCTCTATTTAATTATGAACTGAATTTGTTTTGAAATACCCCAAAATTATATGATAGCAATATATTAAAAGAAACTGGACTCACGAATTTTTTTATTCCCTTTATACATGTTATAAATACAAACATAACATTTTGTAAATGTTTTTTTTTTTAAAAAGGTTTGTTTTCATTTAGCCTTGACCTTCTTGGCAGAAAATTGATCATATCAGCATAGAAATTACAATGTAGCCTTAAAGTGAAAAGTGGTGAAAAACTGTGCACTTAAAAAATATTTTAAAAATAAGACAGGAGATTGTTTTGTATGTTTTGTTAAGGAAAAGGAAAATAGACTGCATTGAAAATTTCTTGGTTAAGAAATGAATCCATTTTTGCATTACATACGTTGAAAGAATAAAACTATTGCTTTTGCGATGCATGCATGTCTTCTCTATATCATTATTATCGTTTTAGGATCTAGGAATTTTTTATGCTTTTGGGATCAAAAGAACTCTGATATATGTATCCCAAAAAATTATGTTTCTGGTTCAACCATTTTCTTTTGGCAGCAATCCAGATTTGCTTTCTGCTTTTCTGCTTGTCGTAACCAGAATTAGAAATAGAGATTAAGCGATCATCCACGAGACGTACACTTTTAATTTAGTAGTCACTCACGACTGTGTAGTAATATTGATTATGCAAATCCCTCCTCGTTTCCCCTCTACTTGACAGGTTACATCTTCCCGTATTCCGTTAATAATTCAATTAAGTCCGATATTCCTCAGAAATAAATACCTACTGGAAGGGTCTTTTTAATTAGATTTTATATTGTAAACTGAGGCCTAATTTATATTTTTTAAACAAAATATTGGTCTTTTATATTCAAGTGATGATTGTCTAAACGTTGAAAATCAAAACGAAACTAAAAAAAAAGAAAATGTGAAAATTGTTATGAAATTTCTATGTCATCACAATGATTTTGAATAGCATATAAAAGTACTTTAAATAACTCTAGAGGTTTGCTTATGTCTGCTTTTACGTATTAAGAGAAAAAAAATAAAGAGATATTTGTCTGCAGTTTTATGCAGGGCTAGTCTTTGAAAAACATTCTTTGGGCCTCCCAGACTCTCGAATAGCATCATGATAATATTGGAACTTCTTATCATCAGGAACTTCCAACTGATTAAATCTAACAAATTCATCCTTACAATTCTAACTTAAATTTGTTTTTATTCTTGCAGTCCTCTATCTGCATTTCTAGATAAAAATATCGTGATACTTATACAAATGAAAAGTGGACCTAATATGTGGAATTCTGGCATAATATGAAAATTAATAAATACATACGTACATTTATACATTAAATGTCCCATAATAGAGAAGTGAAGTAGGGGTATACTACACATTCTACTGTTCATGCATGCATGGGGTATTGCATGATAATTGCCTCGATATCAACTCGCCCACATCCGGGCTCTCGGGAAGTGCTACTGGGATTTCAGCAGAGGCAAATCAATCCCAAACTGGTTTGTTGCTGGCTCTGAACAAAATGTCAAAGCTTTACCCACAAAGTCACGTTTTATCCCTTTATCATTTTTCTGATTTAAATGTCATTAATAGTGTAATCAGCCATTAGATAACCAATGTGTTCAGACGAACCTTGCATGAACGGAACTGAAAACGATTCGGATGTTTGTCGGTTTTCTTCTGCACTTTATATGTAAGTGATACTCGATATTTAATTACATATCCCGTTTCCCATTTTGCACAATAAGTTGAGAAAATATAAGTGTACTGATTCGACTTGTAAATCTTCAAATACAATTGATTGAAATGAGTCATTCTGAATCAATACGTCTGAAACGATGACATTCCCCACAGAATTCTGAGTTCTCGGCATCCTAATGATGGAACCAATATATCCTGATTGACAGTAAATGAATCAGCAGGATGATATGTTCCCTTTAGATGCCTGTTGTAAGGACATCCATTGATCAAATAATTTTGTGTTGTTTATTCTGCTTTGAAATATATATTTGCTTATATGTTTAGGTAACGTAAAGCTAGTGATTACGTTACATATTTGGATTCTGTTGATACAAATGTTATATTCTGATCTTTTTAATTTACTGGATGTTATTAACTACAAAAATTGAACACGACAACTCGACATACTGTTATTTTTGTATTTACTACAAACCAGTAAATAAAAAAATACAAAAGGACAAAAACGTTAATCATTTTAGGAGCGAATTTTTATTGGTCAAGGTTTACTTTTAATAAGAATTTTTCTTTTTCTTTAAAAATTGTCAACTTTTTGTTAAAGTAAAACTTCGATGACTTTTTTCTTGCTAAAGATTGCGGAAACTGGGATTGTTTTCCTTGTGCAGACCTATATTTGTATTCATAGAAGCAGAATTTGACCAAAATCTTACACGTGAAAAGAATGAAATTCTTGCTGTGGCCTTTAACACGATATTTAGATATATCCACGAATTATTGTATATTTACAATGGTCATTTCCATTCTCATGTCGATACGATATATTCCGAGCTTCAGTTAAAAGAAACATAAAAGTCTGACACATCGGTTTCACTTCTGGTTATTTTTTTTTGAAAAAGACGTTAATAGTAATCTAAAAACCAAGCTTTGTGATAAACGTGATGACTTTATCTTTTCAATTGTCAACTTCCCTTTCTTATTCAGCAATATACCTTCTTTACCTGCATACGGGGTTTATATCTCTCAGTTGATTCGATACACTAGAGCATGCTCTTCGTATGTACAATTTCAAAAACGAGGTAAATTATTGACAAACGAGTTGATGAAACAAGAATTTAAGCAGTCCCGTTTCAAGTCATCATTTCAAAAGTTCTATGGAACTTGTCAGCAAATACAATTTATTTTGAGTCAAATGCTGACTGAAATTTTTCATACTAATTCTTAGTCCATTATTTACACACTGAATTGACGACGGATTTTCTTGCTATTTCCTGATCATCACAAGGAGCACACGACGGATGTGACCGGTTGGCAGGTGATGCTCACACCTCCATAGCACCTGATCCCACCTCTGATGTTTTGGAGGTCCATGTTTGCTCTGCTTCTATTTTGTATTGTTTTATGGAATTTTGAGCTTGAATACTATTCGCTATCTCCAAAATATTGGATCATGCATGCTACTATGCAGACTATTCCTTTATCAAAATTAATTTTTATAATTTTTTTTACATAATTTTTTTTAACTAATCAATTTTTTTCTCTGATGCATACAATACAGTGCATAGACCTGAGGCTTTACGAGAAGATGTATGTAACATATCCCGTCATTCAATATTCTTGTACATATCATACCAGCATCTGCTCTGTTTTCAAAGTTCATCGCATTTTTTTTCACATTGATTCTTTTTAGCTTGCGTATGATGGGAGAATAAGCCCCATGATAATCGTAAATGACGATAAGTTATAGAAAAGAGGGAACTCTTCCATATTAGATGAGTTTGCTTCGTGTTCGAACACGATGAGTCATCTCCATCTGATTATCTACAGCAAGAGACTGGTTAGGTATTCTCCAGGCTAAGGAGAAGATTCACATTAGTAATAGAAATCTGATATCCTATAGCTAGATAATTTATAAGGGTGTCCACGTGGACAAATTTGTATTTATCATGTCCTGTGGCGTAAGATGAAGTTCGTTAAATTTCATTCCGGAATTCACCAATCCAGACTTGTCGTCTTCATTGAGTACACGTTGTACATCATTACTTGAAATCAATAAGTTCGTGCAAGTTTTCGCAACTAGACTGTAATTGTGTTTTAGGAAACAATACTCTTTGGAAGTTTTCATCAATCATTAATTTGATTGACATAGACAATTTTTATCATGCTTACAATGAATCACGTATAAATATATTTACTATTCTTCAGGAGATCAAAGAAAAATCAAGGTATACACGATCCTTATTAATTTAACTTTTCTTGGTTTCTCTTTACAGGCAATGACCGTCATCCAGATTTAATTAATATAGATGAAGGTTCTCTACATAATTCCAAGCCAAGACCAAAACCTGCTGTTACAATAGACAGAGATGATGATGACGAAGATGGAGATGATAGTGACGTCATCGACGGTTCCGGCTCTGGGGCCAGTGAAGTTAAATTGGAAAGCACCACATTACACCCAACACAATACCCAGGTTACAGTTCTTTAACATATCTACATAATAATTGTGCTGCTGTTCATTAGCATATCTATATGATTTTGTGCTGGTGTTCTTTAGCATATCTATATATATAATAAGCAATTAAACCTCTTTCATTTTTTTTAATCAAAATATTGGAATTCGGTCAATGCCCACAGTTGATTGCTGTTTATGCTCTGTTGCCCATTGCTGTTCATAGAACACCATATTTCTTGTAGGGATTTTATATTTGACATTCATTAATGCTCTCTTGTGGTATTTCTTTACACTTCATAAATGGAGGTTTGTTTAAAATGCTGCACTGGGTGAAGTTCAATGTTAGAACAATTAACTTTACTAATTTTCATCGGAACCCAAAGTACTAGAGAACTTATATACCCTTGACAACTTGTTATATTCATGCTTTTATCCATCCAGAAAAAATCAAATTGAATCTGTGATTACACCAACTGAACTTTGCCTACAGGACTTTTTACTTAATGATTCCAGGAAAATGCTTAATTACTTGGTCAAATCCGAAGTTACTTTGATGTGTGTTACAGTTTTCCTTATGAATCTGAATTTCTTCTTCATAAAGATTAAATCTAATAACAAGAACAGTCTAATTTTTATCCAATGGAATTGTCCTTTTAACAATATTGCATCCAAGTAACAAGATCGATATTTCATATACATGTATTTAAATGATTGCAGTATTGCACAGGAAAATCAAATCTTGCTATGTCAACATTGTATTTTGTAAAATTAAGAACCTAAGACTGACGCATCAAATAAATTACTTCCTTTTTGATAAAAACAACTTATAATGAAATTAATGATCATATGAATGAAATAAATGATGGAGGATTAAACGAAAAAACGAAACTGTTAAACATTGCAAACACAAATACGAGAAAGGGTGAGAAAACGAATAGTGATCGATCCCAAAATGCTTAAGTTAAACAATGTAAATCAGAGGTAGGGGATATCAAAGCATGAAATTTCCAAAGGTGTGATCATGATACAAGGACTGATGAGCACCCAACATCGCCCTGCCTCACCCGCCGTGAGCACTATGAATTGATTAAGAATATGAAATAATCAACATTAATGCCAATTCAGTTTTGAACAAATGCTTCAAAATTTATATGAAACACAGTAGCCAAAATACGCCCCATTGATAGGTTGTATTTCCTAACACGGTTATTATAACGATCATAGAGTTAATGAAATGATGACTTTAAACGGGTATGTTGAAACCTCTATACATCAACTTATTTGTCATTTGCCTCCTCTGTTTAAAATTCATTGTATTTGGAGCATGTCATGGGATTTTGAATAAACTCGTTAATGGAAGACATAAAAAAAGAAAGTTAACGATGGAAAATACTTAAAGCGAATTCATTTCAACTCACATACTCTGAGAAGTTCATGGTGTCGTAAAAGTTTTTACAAAGCATACAAAACATTGAATGGTTATTCATACTGAATTCAGAGGTATGTTGAATTGATAATTTTTGGAAGTAAGAAATAGTTCACTTAAATGAGAATGATTTCGCTTATAAGGTATGGCGTTTGTGCATGAAATGTTTTATACTAGTCTTAAATTATGTATTAAATTAACTCTAATGAATTTTTTCATCATATCTAATAACTATAGCAAATACGTATATTGCAAAAGTTCTGAAGAAATAGGCCAATTTAAGCTTAAATTTAACACAATTTTACTATTATCATAAAACTAACATAATAAACCTAGTTTTAATTTTTCATTTCTGAATATTGAAAATAATTTAATAACTTTTTTGTTCTCAAAAATTTTATATGACTTATCAAGATTTAAAAAAGATGGTGTTTCAAAATTTATTTGAATAAAATAATAATGGAATTGATTGATGTATTAGACATAATTAGAGTGTAAAAAATTAAAGTTAAACTTCGTAGCTCCAAAAGAAGTTCATTGATGGTAATTTTTGATTTTATATTTAATTAAGCTATTATTTAAAATTTGATGAGCGAAAACTGGGTTACGAAACACGGTCAGAATTAAATAGTTCTCTATTCTTTCTGTGGCGTGTGTTTATAGTTTCTTTTCCTTCGAAGTACTTGTCTTATCTCATCGATCTTTCGTTCACAATTTTCCTTTTACCGAATAAACTTTCACTTAAGACTTCTTCAACATCTTCATTGATGTTATCAATGCTTTTTCTGCCAGTACAGTACATAGAGTCAACTTGTGAAATAAATTTCAAGCTTTTTTTTAACTCAAGTACTCCTCTATAATATATTGCTTTGTAGTCACCTTTGCCTTTCATTTAATAACACTTATTCCGTTTTCTAGACTGGTCTTCTAGACTTGTGTTAACTTATTTTTCTCATGTATGAACTTTCTCAGTAAGTTGAACTTAAAGCTTTTAAGTGCTGTGTTCCGGCTTTTTGTGTACTAGTACTTTATTTTTCTTTGTCTACAATGCAATGTATTTCCTACACCGATGAAACTCAACTGTCTCTTCTAGTGCATGAACCTTTACTTATTTTTCCATCTGAAAATAATCTATGAAGCAAAATACATTTATTGCCTTCCTCCTAAAACATTTGTCGTTGTTTGATATGTCTTTTACACTGATGACAATCAGATATTCTCCTCCAAATCATCATAAAAGACTATATCGGTAATGACCGATATTTGCCCCCAAAATCAAACCTTGACAGAGAAATATATAGTTATGTTCTAAAACAGGGTGATATCTGCAGACTTGAAAGAACTGATTATTTTCTTAAGACATGGCGTCATATGTTGGATATGACGTCAAAAATGACGTAAATTTAAAATTTCCATGATTTCTACAGAAAAGGGTGTATTACGTCGATATTTTGAGTATAAGTCACTGAGCGCAGGCGTGCTCCAGTGTAATATTTTGATCTATAAATATTACCATTCCTAATTTTTCTCTCTGTGATAACTCTGTAAAAGTTAGCGGAGTTAATTTCTTGATAATTTTACTGGAATGTAAATTAGGCAGATCAATAGGTCAGGAGCTAAGAAGGCCTAATATGCATGCAAATCTCGTGCGCATCTGTCTCTGAGTCTGACGCTAAGGAGGCCAAATATGCATGAAAATCTCGTGTGGCTGCCGTTGTGTTTGATGTCAGTGGGCGAGGACTACTGAAACTGGGATGGAATCCTCGTGTAATTCAAATCTATGTCTGAATTTTTAAAGTCTAAATCTACAATTTTATTTCACAATGAAATGGAAATATAAGGAATCACTATCTAGTTAGTATAGTATGCAAGAAACATCAACAATAGTGGGAAACATGGGATAATTTATGCATAACGGGCTTCGCCTGTTATGCAAATTATCCCATGTTTCCCATTCTAGTTAGTATAGTATGCAAGGAACATCAACAATAGTGGGAAACATGGGATAATTTATACATAATGGGCTTCGCAAATTATCTCATGTTTCCCACTATTGTTGATGCCCTGGCATACTAAACTAACTAGACAGTGATTCCTTAAATATGTAGAGTGATAGTATCAATGAAATATTTACTCAAACATTGTTCTGGAGCAGGCCCGCGCTCTATAATTGTTTTAGAAAAAATGAGCAAATTTAAGCCATTTTTCCTCTTTCTGAAAAAAATATTTTAAAAAATCCAAATAGTTTGTGGCATAATAAAAACAAAAATTGTCAATAACCTACTTTGAAACAATGTTATGTTTCATTTAATTTAGATTTAGATTTAGATTTCTTATACAATATATACAATTCAGTACATTTCAAGAAATTTTCAAAATACAACCTTTGTTGGGGTAAAAATATGCAATATACCGCATATAGTCCTTCGGACGCTTTCTCTCCATATTTAAAAAAATCAAATAGTTAGATGTATTTCTTTTAATCTGTTGTCTGTAGAAACATTTTTTTTAATTGCTTTAATCACCAGTTCTTCCTTTTCATCATATAACATATTAAATAGTATAACTATATATCATATAATTCAATAGTTATCTGTTGAAAATTTCAATGAAAATAAGTTTAGCTGTAATTTGGTAGACTTAGATCATAGAACTTTTCTCAGGACTTTATAAACAGTTGTTTTTAGTAATGTTTTTTCTGCAACCTGTTTTCTCTATTCCATACTTATCTATATGGCATTTAAAATGCAACATTTATGCTGATGATCCTATGCAAATATGCCTTTTCTTATTTGTATCTGCATTGAATGCTTAATCATATGTTTAGCTGACTTTTGTTTCATCCTATTTGACCTTATTTTTGTTATTATAAGGCTAAAATCACATTTTGGAATATAGAGTCTGATGTGTTTTCAGTGTGAACATGCAATCTACTCAACATATTTGTTGTAACAAATATGTCTTGGGAACGAAAATACCATTACAAATCTTAAGAATTCTTCATTATCATATAAAAAGTCGGTACTTGTTAACAATCTCATTGATAGTCAATAGAACTTGCGAAAAATTGATAATGTTGAGATCCTTGTTTCATCAAAGTATTTGTCAATAGGTTGCCCTGGAAGACATAAGCTCCATATTAGGTAACAATGATAGACGTACTTGTATTGCTTCATAAATAGAGGAATTTGATTATAGAAAAGTGAACTCATTACGTTAATCATACAGTTTTTATTAGATTTTTAAAAGAAATCAATAATTAAATGCATCTTATGTATAGTATTATTACATTTTCAGGTCCTGTGGTTATGGAAACACCTTCACCAATGTCAACCATGGACGATAGGAAAATCAAAGGTAAAAATCTCCTATTACGATACGGTTTCCTAGCGTACTTTCCTGATTTTTTTCTATTTCATTTCTAGGAAATGTAGGAGGTCATAAAACTTAAAATAGGTTGATTGTATAAAAAAAAACATGAACAGGAAATCAGAAACCAGGCTAAAATGTCATTTATTATTTTATTTAGTTCATTCACAATTATTGTTATTCTATAAATCAATCTGAATACCGTACAAAGTAATGTATGTTTACAGCATTCTTAATGTTGCATTTATCTATCTCAAGTCAGGCAACTAATATAACAGCTTCAATAAAGGGCATTATAAGTTGTAAAGTACTTAGCTTCTAAGAACCACAACAAACATCCTGCAGAAGGTGTTGATTGATATTTACAAATTACAATTGTCTTTGTACATCGGATGTAAAGCGACTTAGCTTTATCCTAAGTTAATGGTGTCTTTGACACCTAATTCCATATAAGGCGATGACTTGGTTGGCAGCTCCAGCAATATAGAGGCTGATAAAACGACAAAATTAATTCTCCCGGTCTCTCGAAATTAGCTACTGTTTGTAGACGATGTAATTGCCCGGTCACATGTAAAATAAACCCTTTGTCTAACTCTTTATTGATGAGATGATTCTGCCGTATTTCTGTTTTAGTATATCTTAATGCCAAGACGATGATTGTAAAACCCATTTTCTGTGTTTTCTATATTGATTTAATTGAGAAGCAAGAAATACTTATTAAATAACCTTTATTTTCATGCATACACTTCTTTTCTGTGTGAATTCATTTTGTTTGGATTTCATTTTTCTTTTTAACTCAATTGTTAAAAACATTTTAGAGTTTTAGTATTTCTTCATTTAAGAAAAATGCAATGTCGTATACTAATTTAGTGATTAGTAATTCTGTAGACAGAATTTGTAAACGGTAAAAAATAAAAATATTTGAGCATTTATATATTTGGTTTTCTTTTTCAGAAATAATCATTCAAGAAAAAGGTTCAAAGCCTCTAAAAGATGCTTCAGATAACAACACACAAGGTAAAAATTTTCTTTATATATATATATATATATTATATATATATATATATATATATATATATATATATATATATATATATATATATATATATATATATATATATTTACAAGTCGCAAACATTTCAGTCTTCGGGGCCATAAAACGTAGATGTGCTCACTTTTTAGCACCGTCTCGCTTTAATAAAAGGAATATAGAGTGGAAAACCGAGGCTAGATCAAAATGATGTTTTTTTAGCCCCAGAGCCAGATAAAATTAAAAAAAATAAAGAAATACAAACTGGATTTCAAGTAAATGGTGGGCATGAAATGAAAAAAAAATCAAAATGATTTATTTGTACGAATTGTAGAACAATGTTTTGTTCTCGCTCATAAACCATGCAAAGATGTTAATTTAATGGTGTCGATAAAAAGATTTCCTCATAGTTTCCATTAATTAATCCTAAAGTTATATGCCCTTTTAAACCTTCAAGTTTCTCGTTTCGTTTGAAAACCATTACTGATTTGATCGCAGCAAGGGTAATTTTTTTCATTTCTTTTTGTTTATTTGGAAAACAATAGAAACTTCTTTTTAATTGAACCTTCTAGATATTTGTTTATTTGGAAAACAATAGAAACTTCTTTTTAATTGAACCTTCTATAGATACTTCATCAGTTCAAATAAGTTATTTATTATGGCTATGGTGATCGAAAGGTTTTCAACAATTAATTTTTTTTTTGAAAGCAAAACATGGAATTTTTCCTTATATTATTAATAATTAATATTATCAAACAGATGAGAAAAAAAGGAACATTTTTTTTCGTTGAAGTTAATCACAGTCACGGATGTTTTAATCAATACTCGGTCTGAAAAGTGGCTTAAGGTGTTACAAAATATCCTTTCTGAAAGATATTAATCTCTTTCCTGATGACCATTTTTCTCTGCTTCCTTGATTTGACGTGAAAATAGATTTATTGAAAGTAGAGCGGAAATATCAAAAATACAATGTAGAAAATTGGCAGTAAAATATCCACCAACAGAAAGCAGGCAAACTAACTGAATTTTTCAGATTGTGGGTTAATTTTTTAAATAACTTATCTTTTGTGAAGCTTTTTTATCGTATTTCTCAAGGAATTATTTGGCGAAAAAGATAAGATGGCAGTGGTGGGATATAAAAAATCTAGATTATATTGATGTTTGCACCACTGCCCTTTCAAAAGGACATTAATCTGCGATAAAGAAGGCTTAAGTCTGCAGTATTCTTATCTTCTTTTTGCAGTATTGGTTTATGGAAATAATGTTATTACCCTAGTATCTGATGACGACAATGAACACAAGAAAAGCGAAGGTAGAATATTAAACAGCTTATCTCTCCCTGAGTGTAAAAAGTTCAGAACATTTGATTTTTGGTCGTAAAATTACCCTATATTTGAAGATTTGTAATAAGTTAAATATATTTTTAAAGCTTTAGGATGCCTTCAAGAACACAGTTATTGCCTTCTTTTCCAAAAACTTTAATTTCTACTTTTAAACACTATCCAATCATTAAAATATAACAATACATGTATATGTCATTGTAATAAATGTTTCCCGCCTGTTTAGTTACATGTATATACACATACCCTTTATAAATAAATAGAGTAACTTTGTTGGTATCTACCAGAAGGAACGTTAAAAATTCATTGTGACATGGAGTCTGACATATCTGTTTAATATTTGGATATTTTACCAAAGAATTGTGGTAATCAAACAACCAAGCTTAATGATAAATATGATGACTTTTTTTCCTTTTTGATCGTCAACTTTCCTTTCTTATGCAGCAATGTCTCCTTATGTGGGGTTTATATCTCTCACTTGATCCGATAGTCAAGAGCATGCTGTACTTATGTACAATTTATAAAACGAGATAAATTATTGACAAATAAGGATAAGTTCCTGAAACAAAAACATCAACAGTCTCGTTCAAAGTCATCATTTCGTATACAATGACCTTGTCAAAATAGACAATCTATCTATCATTTAGTCAAATACGGACTAGTTAATTTCCTGCTAATTGATAGGCCATTATTTACACACTGAGTTGTCCACGGATTTCTTCTTGGTCATGACAAAGAGCACATGGCGGGTGTGACCGGTCGTTAGGGGATGTTCATTCCTCCATAGCACCTGATCCCACCTCTGAAGTTTTAGAGGTCCGTGTTTGCTCTGCTCCTGATTTGTATTATTTAGATTTTTGAGCTTGAATACTGTTCTTTATCTTCATATGTTTCATCAACAATATAATCTTATAAAGACTCTATTGACACTGATAATAAACTGAATTTTCTATATTTACAGATAAAAAGGCAGCCTCCCATATATTGGCTGAAAAGATTAAAGAAACTGGAAAAAATCCTACACTACCAGAGGAGACGAAGCAAGAACAAAGTATGCATTATCATAAACATGTAAACTTCAGACATAGTCTAATAATTGATGTTTTCCGTGGCAAGACATCTGACAATGTTCATACAATCGCTTAATCAATCAATGCTTTCTTCGAGTTTGCATTTTTTTAATTTGCCCAATTGCCACAAGAGGTGAAAAACGAGAATACTTTTCTGCATATTATATTTTTAAAAGCACATAATATTGACATTTAATATTATTTCAATAAGAGAAAATATGTTCTTATTTGTTAAATCGTTTGTTTTTAATCATGGTTCATGTGTCATATTTCACCATTGCAAACATTAAAAAAAGTAAATTCGAAGACAACGAACTGTATATTTTATATACAAAAACCTATAAGCTATACAAACATGTGAAAAGGGCATTAAACACAGACCCCTGGGAATGTCAGAGGTGGGATCAGGTGCCTAGGTTTCTTTGATATCAGAATGTCTAGATTTTAATTAATCATGAGGAATAGTTGTAAAGTGTGGAAACTCTGCATAATTCTGTTGAGAATAATATTTTCATCAACAAATTCTCAGATAAAGTAAATTGATGAAGCAATTTAAAATCTAGGTTTTTTTTTTTAAATTAATGATACAAAATATATATAGCGTTTAAACATTTTGTCCCAACGATACTTATTATCTTGAGTATTTTTAAACTCATGGTTATTTTTACTTAATTCTTGCAGGTGACAGAATTTGTGAAGCTCTTGCATGTAAATATGGTGCAAAATGTATCGAAAAAGAACCACTTAACTTTGAATGCATCTGTCCAGTTGGCACATGCGCAGACGAGGAGGGTGCAGAGGTGTGTGGGTCTGACGGCAAGACATACCGAGGCTCTTGTCAGCTGGAGATGGAGAGCTGCAAGCAACAGAAAAACATCTCTATAGTTAAACAGTCTAGCTGTACGTTTGTTACTTCTCAGTCTCCGAGATTCAATTAAGATTCAAATTACAATAAATAACGCACAAGTTTCATTAGTACAGCATTTAATGAGCAGTACTCACTGAGACTTACACTCAAAATTCCCTTCATTAATAAAAATATAATATGTGAAAATCGCTTTGAATATTTTTACAATTGTTCCAAATACACAAATACAAGATATGAGAAATGTTTCTGAAACTTAAATATGATTATTTTCATCATTTTTTTACAGGTGAGCAAGAATCTCTAGAAATATGCCCGCTATTTCCAGGTTTGTTGATCGAAATTATTGGGGTTTTTTTTCAATTCGTCTTTTTTCTGGTATCTGCACGACAAGCACTTGAACGAATTGTATTAATTTATGCATTTCACTGAGACACTTGTCTTAATTGGTCTTTTGGTACAAATTTAAAGTTGAAATAAAAAATACACTTATTTTAAGTTAAATATAAAATTGAAAACAGCATATCAATAAATTTTCATCCAATCAGTTCTAGAACAAATTGAATTGTAGTCTAATCCACTGTCTATGTTAGGGTTTGGTTTGTTTTAAAAGGAAAAAACAAAATAACTAAATTGTAACAAAGCCACATAAAATATGCAAATAATATAAAACTATATGAAATGAATTTCAAAATATTCTTTTTGAGGGTTTTTTTTTATTTGATGTTGTGGAAAGAAATAATGTTTTCTACAACTTACACCAATGAAATTAACAAAACAGAACACTGTTTAAAATCACAAAATTATTCTGAAAAATTGAAAATCGGTCATAGAGAAGCCAATGCAAGAATCTGAAATTTGTTCATTATTGGAAAATGTTGGCATTGCATGACTTTTTCAATGGACAATGCAGGCACCAAGACAATCTGTCCAATGAAGATATTATCTGCCTCTTTCAAGAGCCAATACATGTATTGTCAGACTCCTCAAGAACCAATGCAGGGATAGAGAGTAGATCAAAAGCCAAAATAGGCGCTTTTGGAATCTCCGAAGAACCAGTGCAGGTATACAGAGATTCCCAATGGCCTATGCAGGCATAGGGTAACTTTCTTTGCATTGACAGACTGTGGAGTCGCACAATACCGTATTGACTGACTTAAGAACTGGAATTGCCTGGATTTACTAGCTATAGAGTTAACTAATACCTGCATTGACAGAATGTGTAATTGTCCAATGCCTGCATTCACACAGACTTTGGAATCCGCTAATACCTGCATTGATTGACTGTACTGTTAGCTATTGCATCCATTGACAGACTTTGGTGTCGGACAGTACATCATTGAGTAAGTCAATGTGTGCACCGAGAAACATTGAAGCTAGCATTTAATCTACAAAGTCATGAAATCCTTGCATTGAAAAATACTAAATTACCTGCATTTTTATCCATTTCTGATGATTATATACTAGTAGCATTGCAAAAATACAGAATAAAGCGATTGAAAATGGAAAAAGTGATTGAATATTTTAAGTAAAAGTTTTATTTTTTCCTTTGCCAAATTATTAGCTATTCTTCTCAGACTTGAATAGATGAATTTTAATTCGTATGTTTAAATTTTGTAATAATCCAACATCGAAAACACAACATTTTAGCTTAAGAATTGAAAAATAAGAAAAATCTATTTTCATATTATGAAATGAGGCTTTGACTACCGAATAATCAATTTATACTTGTATCTAGTCCCAAAGTGGAGTCCATGGTCAATGTGGATAGAGTCTGGTGCCTCTGAGTTCCGTTTCCGGGTTTGCCTTTCCCATGAAACCGGAAGTTCAGGATGTGACGGAAAATCTATTGAGGAGCGGAAGTGTAGAAGTCGTAGAGTCGGTAATTGTCAGTCTCCGCTAGGAAAGCCCATATCTAGAAAGGAGAGTAAATGCGAAGGAAGCAACGTTGCCGACTACACAAAACTAGGTATACTAGGATAAAACTATGTGTAAATTCTTTTTTTTCTAACCAGTTACATTTGTTAAAGACTTGCTATTCTTAAAAAGTGGGGCTTTATACAGTACATCATACACAGAGTAAGATACAAATGGTTTGAAAAAACAGTATGTCTCAAATCTGCTGAATGTACAATTATTTTTTAATCAATATGATCTTTCGATAATTTTGATCGAAAAGCAGATCAAATACACCTATTAAGACGACTTTTGTTTCATTTTCAGATATTTTGCTCCCAAGTTTAAAAAACGAAGGTGAGAATTTTTCAATCGGATTTTTGCACAATACATAACCATAACCGATTCGACATTGTTTATGCTTAATTTTGCATTCAATTTTACCATATAGCCTCTTCATTTGTACTTTGATGATCTTGCAGATTGTTTCGATGAAATATTGAGAAGTATGACTCATGAATTTGTCTGTAATCTTCATTTGTATACCCACTCGATTTTCCCTTGTTTTCCTGCTTCCATATCGATTTTTCTTGTGAATAAAATAATGAAGTCCTTGAAAATGTTTTGTATACATCCTTTCTGTTTTATTTGTTCATAGGGAAAATTTCAAAAATACGGGGAGAGAGAGAGGATGTTTTATCAATTTCTAGTAGTAATTTATTTTGTCATAGAAGAATCCCAGATCTGTCATAAAGAGATATTTTTTTTATGTCTCACTAATGTGCTGTTGATCGGACGGAGATGTAGAATTTAATGAGGAGTAAAAAACACAGTGTGTGAGGCTTTCCGATTGTAGAAATATTTCTCTGATGTGTACCTGATGTAGGATATATTCAGTAAACCTGAAATGGGTGAAAGCATTTCAATTTTAAATCCAACTTTTGAGTACATGTTTTTAGTAGGAGATTCATACGGTACTGAATCCTCTTAAACGTATTTTTTGTGCCTTCATTTTCTAATCTTACCATAAAAAAGACATTTTTCACACATTATCAATATCCAGTTTATTCATGCAAGATACTTGTATTAAATTCGAATTCTGAAATCTTTGACAATCTTATGTTTTCCATTGTCGTAATCTCCAAATACTGAGGAAATGTTCCTCGAGAGGAATACTGAAAGATTTATCGGCAAACACAACCATGCTTTCTTTAATCTTTTTTGTTATAATTTTGCTCTGTGTCATGCACCCACTCATCCTGCCGCGGACGATTTCTCGATTGTTCTTAATTCCGCATACTCTGCAACAACCCAACGTAATTTAGATAGCAAAGGACAACGGGAAGTTTTCTTTTCACAGATTCATCCTATTTTTATCTTCTAATATTCTTGTACGCATCAAGTCTTTCAAGTCAAACAAAGGGCATATTTAATATTTCCGATGTGGATTGTAATAAATCCTTTTTTCTGATGAAATACGCGATTCCACAGAGAACTAGATTAACCTCGAAACTCTGAAGCATTGAATCCAACAAACTCAGCAGAAAATTGCAGATTGTTTTGCGAAAAGGCAAAACGTTAAATCGTTAATTTTTTACTGTCTCGCTAGACTCTGTAATTCTTGATTTTTTTCTGAAATTAATTTAACAATTTGATTTTTGTTATTGATTAAATCATTTGATAAATAAAGTTTACTTCTGAGGCAAACAAGTTTTCAACGGTGTGAACCACCATCCAAACTGGGGTTTGTTATAAAAGAAGCGGGAAAGACGAGAAAATAGAAATATATGTCAGACTGTTTAATTTTCTCAGTTTTTTCTTACTTTTCTTATTTTTCCTTGCAGATTATGACTGCATGTTTTCTCTGTATGACACCGCCGAGTCCAAATTTGTCCACACAAATTGGACCCTCAACCAGCTGTTAAACAAAGGGGATCCAGTGGTCTGGTGTGCCCACAGAGGCATGTTTGTTCCTTTTGTATCTGCAAATCAGAGGTGCAGTCATCATCTCAAGGACTTCTGCAACAAACCAAAGGTCTGTGCACAAAAGAAGAGAAAGGGACTAAAGGACCGAGGAGACTTCAAGAAGAAATGTTGGAAAAAATTTCTGTTGGGAGAATCTCTTCCAGTTGCACTACCTCTACACGATAAGTATTTCATCTGCCAGAGGTTCGCAGACGAAACTGAATTTGCTCATATCTTTGGAAACAAGCCTCTCTTCACAACAGTGTACGACACCAAAAGGAAAATTCCACTAATCTCATTTGGTCGCTTCAGCAGTCTTGGAGATAAGTCTTGGCCCGCTGTACCTACTATGATTGAGAAAGGTAGTTAACCTTGAATACGTCTCATTATGAATCGAAAAAGGCTTTTGCAACTGGTTTTTTTTTTCATGTATTCACTTTTCATCAGTCGGAATATATTTATCATTGCATTATTTATTTCACATAAGATATTTAGAAGTTCAACTTCATGAAAGATGCGAGTCAGAGCAATGCATTCAAAATACATGCATCACCTCTACTAACGTGACATTTAACTAATTATTTACCATTATTTATTTCAATAAACTATTTCCTTGATTATTAACACCATTTTTTGTATCCTTTACGATAGCAAAGTTATATCATTGCATAATTATATAATGTGGGTAATATTTGCTTTTCAAGTACTCTTATTAAAAAAGCTCCTACCATAATTTTCAAACAATCTTGTAGGTCTGAAAAAAATTGAACCAATGGATGTCGGCCTGAAAAAGAAGCGAGAGCCAAATGGACTTCAGTATGTATCAACTGAAGATATGACCTTCGAACAAAGATGTCAGCTTGGAGTATACCAGGCTATAGAGTCTGACTATGAGAACCAACCATACCAGCTACAATATCTTTTGGCCCCTGAGTTAGCTGGAAGTGATGTTGCAAAACGGATCGCTACTCTTTCCATGACCAATACAGTTCCTATCCATGCCTCTATTTACAGCGCCTGGAAACAGGCATTGGAAAGTGTTAGAAAATACGCCATAAATGTTTGTGGAGTTATTAACCTGGATCAAAATGTTGAAAACCATCACAGAAGAAAGAAGAACAATTCCGCTGACTTACATATTTTAGCTGGAGGAGTGCCATCTGAGAATAAAACGATTGGAAATGATGTAAATGTCCCGGATGTCATTTGGTTGGCCGGATGTTGTGTAAAAGGTGGTGAAACCAAGTCTTTTGCGATCTATGTAAGAAACGTCCAAAATGGACAGATAATTTCAGCTCCTGTTGAACAAGTCGAGGTTCTTCTATCAGATCTTCATAAATCCGAACCAACGGTTCGGTTATTTCCGGCACTGAACGGAATGTGTGCAGACTTACAGAATGACGTTTCAAAATACGTGATTGTTTGAAAGGTATAGCAGACACAGTGTTAAACATAAACATTACTTTTTACAGTTCTCCCATCCCTAACATCTTGGAAATAATACTCAGCAATTTATAAAATCTGTACACAAAATGGTTTGATCTAATTACTTGTTTGTACAATTTGGATTACTCGAAATCAAAATTAAGATGACAAAAATTACAAGTTTGTTTAGAATTCTACAACTGCAATGATTTATGGTGGATTATGAAGTACAAATGATCTTTTTCATTTCAAGTATAAAAGCAATAGAAATCGTTTTCCATTCATTTTGTGTGTACAGAATCATCGATATGTTTATGTTTATATACATTTGTATTTCTACAGGTTTTGGTACAATACCCTTTACATGGCAATACTGAACGGTAAAATACTCAAAGTATATTTCATATTTTAAGTATTCATTTATCTTGACATACAAATAAATGAAACTTAAGTAAAGGTACACAATACCATACATTGTGTTAAAACTTCTAAGAAAGTTTAGTAGACCCAAGATATTTGACTTATAGTGTGTAAACAAACCCGGCGAAAGGATATCTGTTCTATTCCATGTTTCAAAAGAAATAGTTTCTACGTTGATGAAAACTTAGATTGTGCGAAATGTTGCACTTTCTAGCACCTTTTAGTTTTCTTGGTTCAAAAAGGGTAATTTAAGTAATTCACAACTTGCTTTCAGTGTTCAATCTCCATGTACATATTCTTTAGATATACATAAAACGCTTTGCCATTTTCGTTACAATGCATTCATTAATGAGTCGAACATTTTTCTTCTTAACAACATTTATTCAGACATGCTCATAGAGCTTTCCTGTAGGTACAAGCTACTCTGTGACTACAATTAATTTACATTTCTCTCAGTTTAAAGGCTCAAATATTTGTGACTGCATGACTTTAATTTTGAGCGCATAAAACAACAAAAAAAGAACACAACACATATTATGACGTGAAAAACCACCCTACCGTTTCCATATAAAGCAATATTTCAAGTTAATTTTATCATTGTGGTAGTTTGCATAGATCCAGGCAATTATACTCAATATAATACCCTAACTGCTTGTAAAATCTAAAGAATTAGCCCATGCAGTAGTTTAACATTTAAGTTCAAGTTATAGCTTATAAGCAAACTTGTATGATAGACTTTGTAATATACCTTTTAAAGGTTTCTAATTAATATAGATTTTTGGCTTTATCCATTGAACCCATAACTGCAAGTATCTTACTCTAGCATTTATGTCGTTGTTTATTATACATATATAACTTATTACAATTATAGTGTAAATATCTTGATATTCGAATTCATGTCATGTATTGTTAATATTTTATTTAAGTTATATTGCATTTCATTTTGTTCGTGTTATTGCTGAATAAAATTGGTTTTCTTTAGGATGCTATTATACTATCTTTTAAAATAGATACCTAGAGGAAATAATTAATTATTTATCCTCCAGGTGGGAGTTCCTACAAACGTTCCACTGGCTCCATTGATCTGTGATTCAGTCTGAAAAAAAAATCCTAGATTTCTGGTCTCATTAACTAGTATCTGAACTCTCCTTCGTGAATTCTGGTGAAAGTATTGTGTGTAAAAAAAAGTTAATGAAAGGTTATTGCACGTTCATTCACTAGCCATTAAATGAGAAACATCGGATTTGCATCACGCTACATTTCAGTCTCGAGTTTTCTATTCCCTACTTCTTTATTTCCTCCAAAATGCTCCGTTGGTATTTCATTCAAGTTCTCCGTCGGCTCTTTGGCATTGAAAACTAATCTCAACCTAAATCTTTTCAATTTTAAACTTTTCTGCCTCACTGATTCAAATTTACAGTTTTGTGATTAGTCTGTGTTTTTATATTCCTATTAATTATAGTCAACTCTCTATTGCGTGCGTTCTGAAAATTTCAGCCAAATTCCATTTTCTGCCTTGGAAAAGTTGCCTTTTTCTAAAACTGGTGGAAACTAAAATGGAATATAAATGAAGCAATCATTGATTTAGAATTGTCACGAAATTTAGCTTTGTCGAAAGTTTCTTTTATGGCATCACATTCAATACTTGCCTCGGTATTAGGGAGAGTGGAAACTTCATACTTCTGCAATAAAGAAACTAAAGCTAATTTGACTTCCAGAATAGCAAAATCCTTCCCAAAACAGTCTCTTGGCCCAAGTCCAAACGGAAGAAAGTGGTTGAGGTGTGATGACGTGAGCCTTTCCTCTGAAAATCTAAGTTAGGATTACAAATTGTTATTTATGCCACTTTTATATTGAAGGTATCAAAATTACATCATTTTTAGAAAGGAACAACCTTTTGATTGCTCTATAAACCATCACTGTATTTTTTAATATACTCAGTCTTTTAAAATACAATACTAGTAGCAATATGTTACTTTTACACTGGTTAGGATGTATCATTTTTTTCTGTTATATAGTTAACTTAAAATTAAAGCTCCATCTACTGTGGCAGCCATGTTTTATTAGTACCTCTCGGGATCAAACTTCTCTGGTTCCGACCAGACATCGGAATCGTGATGCAGTGCATACACTGACACTGTGACATCCATGCCCTCTGGTATACTTATTCCATTGATAACGTTTTCTGTATTTGTGGTTCTATTAAATCTGTTGAGATAAGAAAGAAAAGTAGAAAAAAATAATATTTGTCTATGCCATCATCAGTATTTGAAGAAAAAGCAAACTCAGTTTTTTCTAATGATATGATTCACCTTTCCAAAATGAATATTCCCCTTTTTTATTCGCTTAAAAGTTTAAGGACAACACAAAAACAAACGATGTTTCGATTGTGAACCACAAACCTAACGTTAAAAGTCTTTGATCCAAAATCAAAAAATATTTTGAAATCAAATTTCAAGGTAACACGTGTGTCATAAAATTATATTCAAGTTGTCTTATGATAATATCTCCGCAATCTATTAGGTTTATGCTTTTAGAATGATTTAGATTAAAATGAACTAAGCAAATAATATGAAAAAGAAAATCTTTATTTTCAAAGTGTTACAAACGAAACACCTCAATTCATACCTAAGAAATGGAGGAAACAACCGTAGGCTCTCGTTTACACACTGATGTAAATACTTTAGCTTCTGTATATCTTCCCAGTTTGAAGGATTCTGAAGAGAAATTTATTGAGCTGTAAAGGTAACAGTGACAATTTATGAAAAAAAACATAGGGTGAATTCACCATGCATCGGATACCCTTGTACTTCAACAGTTCTAGCGATATCGCTACCGACGGAAAATTATCAAAATGGAGTTTAACATTTAGTTTGTGATTGAAATATCAATTTGGGACACAATTATATGCCCTTTATTTAGAAAATATCCTCAAAAATCGAGTTTTTAGGAATAACTCAAAATTCACCATGGATCGGACATTGTTTACCATGCAATCGGACAGACGGTATTTTGACTGGATAAATATCATACCTTTATTAAAGTGCTTTAAAATCCTTGATATGGATATATTTTTATCTTTTATCTAAGAATTAACCCTCAATTTAAATCTTATTGACGATATCGTTGCACAAATGTAGAACGATTCAAGAGACCTCACTCTGCCTTAAAAATGCTTTAAAATGCTTATAATGCGGTAATTCGCGCCTTTTTTCATGGTTTATCATACTCTGGTTTGTAGAGATAAATTGAGTCAAATTCCAGACGTCATACATCGATAACCTGTATTTTGACTGAAAATATAGAGTTTTTATTTTCCTTTTTCGCAAAAAACAGCTATCAGCTGGGTTCTGTATGAAAATGGTAGTGCTTACCTTTGCATCGGAAAGTGTCCGATGCATGGTTAATTTGTGTCCGATGTACGGAGAAATGAACATACTAGTGAAAACCAGCTTTTAAAAGAATTATACGAACATTGAAGTGAAATTTCTTTAAAATTTATGTAAAATTATCAATCTTTGACTTTATTCACCAAAGTCTGCCTCGTTCCGTTGAAGTCGAATTTTAAGAACGATAACTCTAAAAATCGCAAAATCTTAAATTTCTGGTTGTTCCCCTTTGATGATGTAAAATATGACGTAACTTCAAGGCCATTCTCGGGGTATTCACCCTATATATTTAACATATGCAAATGAAACGGCATATTTGAAACTTTCTAGCACTGGCAGGCCTATGATGGAAGAAACTGATGAACGAAAATCAATAAAACTGCAGTCGGCTAGTTGGCGCCCTCTGTTTATGAAACTTGGTGATATTCAAGTTTATCATAGAAATCATTTGAAACATGATACAGAATATTGAAAGTAGTCCGCATACTGTAAAAATTTACTGAAATGACACATGAATGGATTTTATTGCGCTTGTAATAAAGGGAATAGAGGATGTCAGGTTTTGTAAAAGATACAGTATGATTCAACCATCGATAAATTGTTTGAAGAGATCTGGTTTTATTTCATAAAATAAAAATATTCTTGTATTTTACTCTTGAAGTAAATTGTACATTATGATATCAAGTGACCCACTTGCCTACAGTGTTCTCCTGGACCAAAACCATAAACTTCGAACAGACTTAGGCTAAGTCAAAATCAAGATTTTGATATCTTGAGTACCATTTAACATATTTGCTTTAAAAAAATTGCAGCTGGGTATATAATCTGAATTCAAACATATGGTGAAAATTGTATCTCATTATCGAAATTATTGCGAAAGTTATATTGTTTTGAAATTTTGACTTAAGTCTGTTCTCAGTTTATGGTCTTGAGGCCTGAATTACTTAAGTCATACTTTTTTTGAAGATTTTTAAAAGATGTTAAAATTCATTCAAAAATTGTGACCCCATACATATAATAACATTACCCTAACATTAAGACGAATCCACACAACCTGCACCAGAAACAAACGAACTTACATTGCTGTTTAGTAATATGAAGAATTTTCTTTTTTTCTAAGTTTATAAATCGATATGTATAATTTGATTTTAATATTATCCAACTCTTACATTGCTAGCATGATTTAAGAAAAATACATTCAAACAATATGGGATGTTTGCAAATTAAGGGTTTATGTTTTAAATGTCTTTTAAAACATGAAGTAGATCTATGCAAAACTTTTATCAATTTTTGTAGCCTCATCCTCACAACGGGTCAATGTGCTGAGAAGGTTAGACTGAACACTACCCATGGAGCCCTTCACATACGGTTTATCATTTCTGGCCAAGTGATTCTTGTAAAGAAGAGTTTTGACTGGTCATATCCATTGCATGCCAGGCCTCTATATTATAATCATGTAAACATTTAAAAGCCTGGCTTTAGATATCATTCAAATAACGAGCCAATATTTGCGCATAAATTCATTGAATGTTGCAAATGGTTGAATTTAAACTGATGAATGCCTTGTTACATCAACTTATATGTCAGTAGCCCTCTTTGGCAGGTTATAATGGAATGTAACATAAACATGGTATTGGCTGACAATAGAACCACTGGAGGAATCAGGTTTGTAATATGCAAATTGAATACAATATGAGCAAAACCATTAGTTTTATTTTATTTCTGTAAAATATTATTATTAACCATAAGGAAAGAAAAGAAAAAAAGTGATATCATTAATGATAAACAGCGATATCTGACCAGATCAGCGTTTTCTTTACAACTTTGAGACGTCTCACCTCTTTGTGACAATCAGAGTCTGGTGTTTTTAAACATGCTCTGATTTCATTTATCAATTTCTTCTGGCATTCAGGATGTACTGCTAGACATAAAACTGTCAGCCCTAGTGCATTAGCCACCGTTTCGTATCCGGACAAGACGAAGAATAAGCTATTAGCCGTTAGGTCGGAAATGCTTAGATCTGAAACATCAAAGTCAAGTAAAGTAGGTTGAACTTGCATTTGATTGGGAATATTTTTCTTTGGCGCAATTGCGGATGACAGTATTTATACATCAAAGCAATAACAATCAGTTGCATGCTTATTATCAATAAATAGATATAGGTTGTAATTGATGTTGTTTAATGTCAAACCTAGGTTTATCCCCTTCCTTTCTTTGGTGGTGTTTGAGTTGCTGTCGGCTTCTAGCATACTTTGAAGAAGGTCATTACATCTCTACAAAGATTTAAAATTGATACCTCTAATTTATTTATCATCTTTGTACAAATGAAGTTAGCATATCAACTGCATCACCTTTGAATTCTTTGAATATGAGACATTTAAAACTTTTTAATGAACTGTTGCATATTACCTTGATAAATAGCCAAAATAATTGAAATCGTATACTGGTTTCGTATCTGAATGAGTTCAGTTTGTTCGAGCAAAAAGGACTACTGAAATACTGAGAAATTACATAATCTGTATCATTATGTTCTCACATTATCTGGTTTATCCCTCTTCTCTATTTCTGCCGTCATCTGATCATTAAAAAACGTCCTGGTGACCTTGGAGATAGGGTTGTAATTTTTACATTGGAACCAGAGCCTCAAACAGGGAAGTATTGCTGTTACATAAAAAAGATACAAGTTTAAGAACCTCTGTATTGAAATATTCAAGTAGAGAAAACTTTTTCAGTCTTCCTATATTCAGTAAGTACATTTAAAATCGAGTGAATATATTTTTGCCCACATCTTTTTTTTTTTTTTTGAATAAAAAAATAACAGTTATGCACAATCATATTTCAGCATTCCAATGTGGCTAGAGATAAAGGTTAGAAAAGAAAAAAAAATGATTTTTATCTTTTTTTCTCTCCTTAGAAGAACATTTTATGCAACTTCATTCAAAGCAATGTTTACTCCAAAAATGAAATGCATTTGACAGCAGCTGGTAGATGTATATTTAAATCCTCTCATGTACAATATGTTCAATATATGAATCTATATACAATAGAAACAATTAGGCATAAAAGAATTACAACAGAAACGTAGAATATCAAGTGAAATATAAATATACTAGTATGTAGGTTAGGTGGTTGAATTTTTTTTAAATCCGGTAATCAATAAGAATTGCGAAAGGGGCAAAATCAGGGACGCCTGGAAACAACAGAAGTCGGATCTGGTGCCTAAAAGGAGTAACCATTCCCTGTTGACTTGTCAAACCCATGTATTGATTAAATAAACGGGGTAATCGTAGTCAAAATAAGTATTTCACTAAACCTATCAATTGGTATAGAACATTTCAATTCTGTCTCCCCCTGTTGCTACGTGCCTGGTGTCGAATTGAAAGTCTTAGCGAGAGTCTTTTCTTCCCATATAATTCTTTTAATAAATTCTGCCTCGTAATAAATTTAAAGCAGGTCGGCTAAAGAGGTTTTATTCTCTACAAAAAGCTGTCGATTTCCGTTCTGATTAATGACATTAGGCTGAATACATATAACAATTTGTTTTTCCTAAATCTTTATTTCAGTGAGTAAAGATAGGAGGAACCCTTTTTATTGATTTTCTGAGTTTGTTATCTCCAAATGTAATAATTGATATTTGTCTTTACTTCTCTTTGTGCACAAAGGTAATGTCTACTGTCTCTGAAATTCTATTCTTTATGTCTAGGCTATTTATCCATGGATATAATAAAAACTTGTCATTAATGTGTGCAAATTATAAAGGCCTAAATGAAATCCAAGGGAGTGCATTTACTGAAATATGTAGTCAAAATAAATTTGATTAAATTCTAAGGAATATATACAATTGAAATTCATCGCAGCTCAATGCTGCCAAGAATACCCGTATTAAGTAACACACAGTGAGTTATTCTTGTCCTCGGAGAAAGTGTGCTTAAACTGAGGTTCGTTTCACCTGACTGACAACTGTACATTGGATTGTTACGATTTGATATCTCTTTAGTGTTTCTTATATCAAGAATGGGCATGCATAAGGGATAGAAAATTGACGGGAAAATACACAAGTCTATAAAAAAAAATTTAAATGGTCTTTGAAAAGGCGAAATTTAAAACTTTATAAGTATTGTACCAGGTGGATTCGAACCCCCGACTTTAAAAAGAGAGTATCCAAGGTATAAAAGTCAGCGGATATATCAACTGAGCTAGTCTGACTATAAGAATGGGTGGCATAAATTTAAAGCAGATTATGAAAATCTGGTTTCCTTATTTTTTTGTAGGTTTTTTGTGAATTTCGACCCCAGGGCAGGGGTGCCCCTAAAAAAATCTTATCTTAAATTATTCCTTACATCCTAACCTATCAAAATATCACAATTTTATTTAGGGGCAGGCCTGCCCTGATGGACTTCAAGGCCAAAATTCATGCAAAAATCAACGCTTTAATGGACAAAATGGTGTTTCGATCAACTTTGGAGGTTTATTGTAAAGTTGGAAATAATAAATTTTAGGTATAAAATACAAATTTAAAAAATGTAGACATATATACGGTAGAAAACAACAAATAAAGATTGATTTTTAAATGTCACTTTTTCCGGGAAATTGTTCTCTCCTATAGGTCAATTCTTTTGTTAAAGCGAATACATCCTTTCTAACAAAAAGCTATCAGCTTTGAGCAATCTGAGTATTTAGTTAACATCAGCGACAGAAAAATAATTATTCATGAACAGAAATATTATTGGGACAAATTTTCAAAGCAATATTCGTAAATAAAGAGACCTTGGGTAAGTACTGAAAAGAGTGTTAGTGATGGAATTGTATGTAATAATATATGGATGGTCAATAGGCCTACAATGTATTCTTGCATAATATCTTTATCAATTTTTTTTTAACTTACCACAAAGTGTTATCGGCTTTACAATATCTTTATTGCCAGCGTTAAATGCTTCTAGAACTTTTCTGACGAAATCTTCATTAGGATTTTTATGACTGGTCACACGATGTCCAAATAGAGAGGTACACAGAACGTCCATTGAATAATAGGCACAAGCTCTGCAAATGAGGTGGCAGTTGTTATACCATTCAATTGATATTACGAAGAAGGATTTCATTAAATGATTTAGAAGACTTACTCGTAAAAATCGAAGCCATTTTTGTTTGTCAGAGACGATTCTTTTATATGATCAACCAATTCATCCGCACACTCATTTACGATGTTAAGTACCTGTAAAAGAAAGTCTAGTCGATCTTAAAATTTCGTGCTTGGAGGAAAACATCATTTTTATATAAATATGTTCCTAAAAATGTTATTCATTAAGGCATATTTTTTTCTATTTGTAAACAAAAAAGTAAGGTTACTGTTTTAGCGATATAAGAATTCATAAACTTTTTAGTCCTTGATAATTATTATCAAGAACTAAATTAAAGAAAAAATCGGTGATCCAAAATCTTAATATGTTCATTGGCTAAAATTATGATAATTATATTGTATTAGCGTGTATGCAAACATTTTTAGTCATTCTTTTCCATTAAGCAAGACATTAACAATTCAGCGCCAATGAATCTAGGTTAAATCCTATAAAACCCTCCTCTTGTTTTGTTGTTTTCTCTCTTAAAATCATGTCAACAAAGAAATTCTTATTTTAAAAGAAAAAAGTCAACGTTATCGACTAGTAATCAAATTCCTTTTAAAAACTCTGATTTACTTTTTATGTCGTGGTTGACATCTAAGTCCGTATTTGAGCGGTAGATTAGGAAAGTCTATGAACAACGAAATTGCCGTGGCCTCAATTAGCAGTTTTGCTGTATAAAGTTAACGAGTAATACTGTCTGTATGATATTCTCAATTATCCAGAGGTTTTGTGGAATGATGACAAGACAACCTACACAAATTATGGAATATCCTTAATATACGCTATACATTGCATTATCTGTCATTTATTATCATATTAAAATATATGTCGAGTACTTGTTCATTTCATTCCAACTTTTACTTGTTTTACTTTTATTGGTTAATGTACAGTCCTACTCTTTCAATGATTTATTCTCATTTTCGTGTGTTTTAATAGATATTTCTATGATATATAAACGAGAAATATTACAAAAGAAAAATAATATATCCTAATATCTTTGAACCTGTGTTACCATTTTCCAGTATGGACCTAATATTCTGTACATTTAACACTGAATCCAATAAGAAAAAAAACATTGAAAAAGGCTTACTAGTACCGGTATTTAATTTCAATTATTGTGTACTCTTTTATTACTTACACCTGATTTTTCTAGTTTAGCCGGACAAAATAATGGTGCCAATCTCCTACGAAGGAACTCCCACTTCTCATCCTTCGTCAGGGCAACAGCTGACTGCAGAGTACAGCCCAAGTTCATAATGCTCTAAACATTACACAAAACATACAAAATAGTCATCATTTAGGAAAAAGTATTAACTATACAACATATGAAATAGGCAACATTTAGTAACAGTTGGCATCAGAGTATCTAAATTAATCTTAGTCTAAAACATATACAAAATGCACATATCCGTAAATAAGAATATAGACATTTAGTAACAATCAACATCAGAGTTTAGCCAAATGAGGTATCCCCTGTCAACACTGGTCACACCTGTTGTTTGCTCCTTATGATCGGATATATAAACGGAAAATTTGTAAAAAATTCAGTGTGGAAATAAAGACTTAACAGTTTGTATGAAAAACGTCAGTCAATATCCGACTGTTTCGTGTAATGTCAGCATTTTTGCAAATCCTATGGTCGATCAAATGACCATGTTAGCAAATAAAATATATCGCAATTGCTACATTGGTCTATTGTATTTGCTAGCAAGGTGATTGCATCGTCCAAAAAAGAAGAAATGTTCATTTTATTTGAACTATATCTATATTCTTGTATCTTCATTTAACTTGGCAATAGTATGTACGTCTCGTTGTAGTTGTGTTATGTAGAATGTGTTCTTTAAGAAAACTTCAAAATTAGTTAATCTATTGCTACACAAAAAGTCATAGACAAATGTCTGTATAGGATCAGTCCATTAACAAAAATAACTAGGATACAAATCCCAGAAATCTCTGTAGTCTTTTTCTCCCTTTTTTGAACTGCTCGAAACATCAGTTTCTTTGGTTTTCTAATGCATGTATTTATTAACTTAGCTGCAGATCTGTAGCCCTCCGAAAAAATATATTGATGGACCGGTCCATCAATATATTTTTTTCGGAGAGCTACAGATCTGCAGCTATTATTGACTAATCTACATCAACATGAACATTTGAAAAAATATATACAAAATTATAACTTTTTAATACTTAGTATTCTAGATTCTTACCGCTCTGTTTTTAAAGCAATTGAACTTCTTTACACAAACTTCGTGAATAAAGTCAGCATCACTTGTTAATAAACAAGGTCTGTGTCCAACAAAAATTCTAAAAGGAGATAGAAAAATTAGTTTAAAATAGTTTTTTGCACTTTTTCTATGCAAAAGTTTAAATTATCAGAGCACTGCATTATAAAAAAGAATATAGAAAGACTGTGAGTATGAGCAATGATGGCAATGTACGAATAATGCCAGGACTTTAAATAATGAATTTATGAGAGTCTCACTCTGTAGTATATTAGTTTGGTAAATCATTAATTGTGCTTGTCTGGCTTAGTATAAATTCAAGAACGTCTCATATATATCTAATATAGGCAATAAAAATTACCCTTCCAAAATTAGAAAAAATTGACTATCAACATAAAATACCAGAGAGCACAAAATTTTACTTTTTATGCAAAGAGATAAGAAAGGATTCAAAATGCTGAAGAAAGAATATAGATGCATGGTCGGAGAAGTTATAGGAAATGTATAGAAATTGTTTTACAAATAATTGATCTTCTTACATACCCGACTATTTTTCCGTATTTTGACAACAATTCCAAATCTGTTTTAGCAATCCCCTTTAGAATGATAAAAATAACATGCATCCAGGTCCATGTATGAAGATGAAAAATTAAATAATACAAATGTTATTGCAATTTTACTTTAATAAAATTTAAGAAGCACATACTTCTTTGAAGTTTGAACATATAATACAAACATGCAACATTGTAATAAAATGTCAATCAGTAATAACGAATATAGTGATTAAAGCAAAATGCCAATTGAATAAAACCAATTGCAGTTAATGCAACATTTTCGAAAATAATTACATTATTTTGTAACTGCAAAATGATCTTTTATAACATAAATATATTATTCATACCTTTTTCTTAATTAAAGGAATGATTCCTAAAAACGGAGAAGGTTCTGGACCAGGAATGTTTAGTTGCTTAAAATATTTGTGTCTTCTTTTGCTGAATCTGGAATACAAACAGGTAAATTCTCAATTTATTATCCACAACTTTATTTTTCAGAAACATGTGTATACATATTGTAAACCTAACAATTCTTTTGATTAATAAAAGAGCCGCTGTTGTCATACTCCTTGTGTTCTTTCTTTCACTTTTGCATCAGCGTTGTACTCTTTTGCATTTTACTTGGTTTCTTCTCTTTTTTTCCCAATATCACGTCTCTAACAAAACTTCTACTTAATAAGTATAATTGAGAAGAATTTTTATCGTCTAGCTAACGTACGCATTTGACCAAGCAGAAATTGTCGGAATGAGATTCGCATGAAATATGTTGAGATAACAATTAAGCAATGTTCGAGCTCATAAATATTCATGAGGGAGTAGTCCCAGGGAGTAGCTCTGATTTTTCATGCAGTAGTCCTCAGATGAGGGAAATAGTCTCTTCTCGGGGAAATAGACAGTTTTATGGTATTAATTTTATATAGAGTTATTACAGTAGAGGTATAATAATATAAAATAAGAACGGAACAAACATGGATCGACCTCCAAAACATCAGAGGTGGGATCAGGTGCCATGGAGGAGTGTGCATCCCCTGCCGACCCATCACACAGTGCGCTCCTTGGCATGAAAAATCAGTGTAAATAATAGCCTAACAATTAGTATGTAAAAAGTCCTTCAGCATTTGACTTAAGTTATGATAAATTTTATTTGCTGACAAGGTCATTGTATCGACCATTGAACCTACGAAATGATTACTTTAAACGAGATTGCTGATATTCTTGTTTCAGCAACTTGTATGTCAATAACTTACCTCGTTTTAAAAATTGCTCATACGAAAAACATGCTCTTGCGTATCGTATCAACTGAGAGATACAGGTAATGAAGGTATATTCCAAATGAAATGGAAAGTATCAAGATTTAAGAGCCAGATAAGATTCGTCATAGATGTTCAACGTCATTCATTAAACTTAATTAATTAAACTCATTAAACATTAAACATTAAAGACACTTTTTTTATACACTGGATAGTCATTTCACCTACATAAGGATTTTATGTATCTCAGTTAAATTGATACGCAAAACATTTCCATGTTCAAACAGCTACTACATGTACATGTTTAACTTGACGGTTTATTGACAAATAAGTTAATGATCCAACTTTATCAACAATTTTGTTGAAAGTCAACCTTTCGCTTATTTTATAGCCGAATAGCCGATACATTGACCTTGTGTGTTAATAAAACCTTCCGTTGTTTAGAATATTGACTGACGTCTTTTATACAAAATTTAGCCTTTATTTTCACACTGAATTGACTACGAAATTTTTTCGTTCTGATAAGGAGCAACACCGAATGTGACGTCGACAGGGGATGTTCACTCCTCGTTTAGAGGTCCGAGTTGGCTCTTCTCAAAACTTAATTTTTGCATGATTACTTCTAAAAAAATTTTTATAATCTGGCTTTCTTAGGCTTCTTGTTTATCGCCCTGTTCACAATCTGTATTGTTGAAAGATTTGTGAGATCGGTCATTGTTCGTTATCTGCACCTCTTTTTTCTTTTTTCTAAAACGAATGTATAAAGGATTCTTTCTTATTCACCTTTGTATGCATTGCTTTTTCTGTTTTCATCTCAGATCAGTTTATTTACTTAAAACGACTGCCTTCGACATCAAGCGTAATATCAGACTAGCTTTATTTTGTCAAGCATTCGATGCATAAAGAGTAACAAAATTGATGATGGTTTGTTCTATTTTTATTTTAACCTCAAAAACGGCATATACGTATGTCCGAATTATAACTACATGAACAAACATCTTGGTACAATCTTCATTTTTTAGTTACAGTATACTAGTATATCCAAGATTTCTAAATTATTTTGGAAATTATAATTATCATAATATGTCGTCATCGTAATGTGATTCAGAAAAAACACCTTTAAATTCAAAACAACACGACCAGGAAAGCGTTGGAGTAAAATAAAAAGTAGATGATTAATTGATCAGAATCCCATATATATTATAATTTATTTTAATAATCCAAAGTTAATAATGCATCAAATTGTTCGATTTCCTTTAAATGAAAATAAAGTATCTCCGATGTTTCATTAATTATTAATTCGTGGTTAACTATTTAATGGATAATCGAAAATATAGCGCAACCCCCGGCAAACATGAAGTCTAGCAAGTGATTCACCTGTTTCCTAATTGCGGTTCAAAATGTAGAATATATTATGTAAATACTACTACTTTGAGGTGACAGATAGTATTAATGGATTTGGGACATTTTTCTTCTCTCACGGGAGGGGGGCAGGCTCCTTAAGATCCTAAATGTGTAGTCTTTTAAAACCTGTACAATGATGCATTCAAAAGGAGAAAGGGACGGTGTACAATTACATGACCGTATCGTTTTCTTGATAAAACCCCGATTGTCTATCTTTAATACCTGTGTTCGTAGGAATGAAAAGATTTTGAAATAATTTTGTTTTTTTTTTATATATTCAAAAATTACATCGTATAAAAATGTTTTGTCATCTTATTTGGATTTAAAAACTAGCAAACATGATACACAGCTGTTCCATGTTTAAAATAAAAGAAAGATCGAAAGTTTTGAATTTGTTTTACATTTACACACGAAAAATATTATTCTTTCAATTTTAGATTAAATACGTCTTAGAGAACACTTTGTGTACAATGCATCAAGTTTCTTTCGGACAAAAGTCCTATTAAAATATTTTTGGACGTTAGTCGGGTATAATAATGTTTTGATCTTATACAAACAGTTTCTTACAATTTTTGTTAAGTTGATTTAAAGTACTTTTTAAAACCCACGATTAAGCTATTCTCCCTTGTTACTCTGCAACTCATACTTGTCTTAGATTGTGTTAGTTTTGTCCTTGGTCAGTTTAGGCTAAAAGCAAATGGGCATCAAGCAATGCATCGATATACAGACTTTAGCAATGCAAAAAGACATCAGAAAGATCTTCCTGGTTGAATCGGGTCAACTTAACCCATACATCGTACAGAATGGGATAAATGATCTTTAAAAGATCAGATCTGATCAGCTGATAGTAGTGGATATGAAAAAATCAACCATGTTACCTATAATTAGCATTAAACAATTTGTATGCATGCTAATAACATAACAATATACCAAGTCAAAATCATTGACATTTATAAACACATTTACTTTTTAGATAATGAAAACGTTCATTTACTGGAATCGTTAACTCGATACTAAATAAGCTATTGCATAAATTTTCATGCCTGAAATCATACAAAATGTGTCAAATATCTACTTACATTACAAATGCTACGATTAGGCCGCATGTTATTCCCAGCAAATACAGCCAAACCATTCTGTTCGCCTAATGTCGCAGTATAATTCTGTCGGTCTTTGTAAACCGGGCCGTCTGACTGTTAAGTCAGGACCTCCGTACCAGTTCCGCCTTCCGCATTTACATTTAAACCTAAAGCACCTACATAGCAGTGATACCGACACGGAATTGTTACATAATTTATTGCAGGCGATTATAGCTTTTGTTTGAACAGATAAGCTTTTTAAATCGGTAAAGAACTGCCAGTGTGATTTTTATTCACCTTAGTGTGCGATCTGTCTCCTTGTGAAATGTGTCTTTTCAAAATTCATCTACACAAAAAAAGTAAATCATTTTATTATTTAACGAAATCTAAAGGTCGTTAATATTTTAAAACCTATCAAAAGATGATCATATTTTTGTTCCTAACAATTGACAAAAGGAAGATCAACATTACCGCTATATTGAAAATAAAAATCAAACATTACCAATTTTTTTATTTAAATTTAGGGTGCTCACAACTCCTACATGTTATCAACAAAACTATTAGCGATTACAGTTCATTACCGCTACATGCATGAATCTGCCATCGATGGCATAGAATTTAAGTTTTCACTCACAATGTAGTTAAAGTACAGTTGTAACCTTGAGATCTATTTACGCCAGTCTGTAGTCAAAAGAAATGTATTATAAAACTTTCTCAATTTTTAAAGTATGGAGATGGGAAAAATCCTCAAAACTGTGTCTTTTAGGAAAAAACATGTAATTAAAAATAATTGTATGAAACCCCATCCAGATTCTTTTTACTTCCCGCAATTTCCTGTCGCAGTGAATCTTCATTGATGATCTCATTAAAATATACCGACATACACGCATCCTTACATGTAGTATCCTTCATTATTTTATTCAATTATAGTTTTAGATGACAAATATTTTAATATTTAGTCGCATTAAACTGTATTTATCTTCTGATTTTTTTTTTAGGTTTTTACTTTAATTTCTTTGAATTACAACCGATAACATATAATTTGACATTATACTCTATAACTTAACAAGTGTGGAAAGTATTAGATATAAATGAATGAATACGGTCTTAAATTGATTTTTAATTGAAAGTGAGAAATTCTATGGTCGATACAATGACCTTGTCAGCAAATACAATTAATCATTGAATTAAATGCTGACTGACGTTTTTCATACTTATTGTTAGTCCATTATTTATTCACTGAATTGACGACGGATTTTCCCGTTATTTCCCGATCATGACAAGGAGCACACAGCGGATGTGACCGGTCGGAAGGGGATGTTCACTCCTCCAAGGCACCTGATCCCACCTGTTATGTTGTGGAGGTCCGTGTTTGCTCTGCTCCTATTTTGTATTGTTTATGGACTTTTGATCTTGAATACTGTTCGTTATCTCCAGATGTTTCATGCTGTATCTAACCTACATTAATAATGAACAGGTTATTTTTTTAGAGCAGATCCATTTTGAAGAACATGTAACTATAATGTCATTTGGTGACCTGCTTTGCGTTGTATGGTGATGCATCTAGGGATGTCTACTACCAGACATGCTTTGCATGCTGGATCTGAATAACATAACCATTTGTAGATCTGGAGGCAGATCCATTCCCAGAATTCCATGTTAGCAAAAATTATGTTTGACGTGAGACTGCCTTCCTGAACCATATTTCAAGGTGAGCTATGTACATGTACATGAAACTGTATGTCCTACATTTTTTTTTAATCGGAAAGTTCCTAACTTTATTTTTTTAATCTAAATTCAACATTCTAAAACTTTGAATTATTTTATTTGAAGCATCAATGGTTTACACCTTAGACAGTTCTTGACTTGTACCATTTCATTTTTAATTTTTCTTTCCTCTTCACATCTTTCTTTTTATTGAATTTATTCTTCTAAAGATATTTTTCTATTGGCTTTAAATTCCAGACCTAGCTCGCTACATTACAGCATGTTACAAAGTGCAAGCATTCAGAGATAAGAATTTATCTCCTTACTAAAGAATTAAGGGGCAATTACAATTGCATAAATAGTTATAATTACAGTTTATGGTGTTGGGATGACAGCTACATAGTTAAGCAGCTTAAATCTACCCTTTCTTATGTTAAATTTATATCTGGAGAACCATACGAAGTTCATTTCTTTATCGTGTTCTACGTCCAAGATTTTTTCACTCAAGAAGAATTTTCACAGAATTTTAGATTTTGATCAATGCAGTATTGTATTATGTCCAGTGATTCGACAATTTAAAAATATGAATATTATCAATACTTGAGGTACTGTGAGCACTGAGCTCACTATAGCTAAATGATACCCCCCTCCCCCCGCATCTCATGTCATTATAATTATATCAAAGTCCATGTTTTGTTTTGGGAGACAAGAGGAAGAGTTTCGGATAAGAGATGGGTATCCTTCAATATTATAGAAAGAAAGACAGTGTCCATATTTTGCTAAGGGAACCCCGAAATGCGTGCCAGATCATAAAGTAATATAGGAGTTCACAATAGCATTATTTAATAAAGAATCTTTGATAGTATCATTAAATTTTGTTCAGTGGTATAGGAGGAAGAGATTGGTACCCTTCAATATTATAGAAAGAATGGCCTTGTCCATGTTTTGCTCTTTGAAACCAAAAGTATGTGTCCGATCAAAAAGTAAAATAAAGATGCACAATGGCACTAAGTAACAAAGATTCTGTGAAACTAGGGATGACAAAGGAAATTCAGCAGATTTGTTAAAAGTCAGCATTTCGTAAATTATATGATCATTATAATGAATTAACTTGTTAGCAAATACTAGTATAACCCATCACTAGCTGTCTTTATTCCCCCGCTTGAAAAGCGGGATGGTATATAGTAATCGGTATGTCCGTCAGTCTGTTACGCTTTGGGGTACCCATCTCTTATCCGCAACTCCTCTTATTCCACTGAGTGAAATTTAATGAAACTTTCACAGAATCTTTATTACATATTGCCATAGTGCTCCTCCTATTTTACTTTTTGATGCGACACTTTTTGGTTTTCCCGGCCACAGCAAAACATGGACTTTGCCATTATAACCATATGGGAGGCGGGGGTTATAATTTAGTGAGGTCATTGCTCACTATACCTCTAGTTTATTTTGGCTTACTTGTTTCGTAGACCTTTGACTTAAGGGATGCTTGAGTACCTCGTTGACAACTTTTATGTAGTTTAGAGGACGAAATCTTCCTACAAACTGTTTGAATTTCGTGGGACACTAATTGTGTTCCTTTTATTATTTCTTTTAGGCGACCTATTCCCATGGAGCAGAATTTATTCAGCCTTTTACATGAGAGGAAGAAAACACTTGCTATAACCTTAACATTTAGATACATGAACCACGTAAAAAGTCATTGTACTTCCGCTTGAAATGCAGGAGGGTATATGGTGATCGGTACATCCGTCCGTGCGTCCGTCTGTTACGCTTTGGTGTACCCATCTCTTATCCGCAACTCCTCTCATATCACTGGATTTTAATGAGATTTTCATAGAACCTTTGTTACATGGTGTGTTACAACGCACTTTGAATCATTACGCACTTTGAAAAAAAATTTCAAAGTGCGTTAAATTTGGGACCAAATTAAAGCACTTTGAAAAAATAAAATTTCTTTTCAAAGTGCGTTAATATCGACCATATTAACCACTTTGAAAAAATATGCATGGCTTGGTCAATATTCTTGCAAATCTTAGGTATGATAAACAATTGAACCTGTTTGATAACTCTTCGGTGATGAGGTCACTTCAGGATGTGTAAGTTAGCAATTTTGATTTTTCTATGCTCTGGAAATTCTTTTCTCTCTTAAATGTTTTATGTAATTATTTTTTTTCCAGTTTGCATGCATTTTATGTAAACTAATATTTATTGAACGTTTTCAACGTCATACCAGGTATGCAAATACATTATATGTGGGTGTAACATAGGCATCGGTACGGAAGGGGGGGGGGGCTTAGGGACAAAAATGTTTTGCATAGATATACATATTATAGGCATTGAAAATTGGGCTTACCTTTGGGGGGGGGGTCCGCTTTCAATTTGCTACCGACGGCTATATACATGTACAATGTATAAGGAAAAAAAAACAGTTGAGCTACTTCTCCTTGTTCTCAATGAGGTTAAATGAGTACATGTAAAGTTTTTCAAAAGGTAAAATTATTACAAATTGATTCTATCAATATTTATACATATTTTTTTCAAAGTGCGTAAAATGTCCCCGTGGTAAAAAATGCATATGTACACTCTTAACACACTTTAAATTTTTTTTCAAAGTGCGTTGATTTGTCCCAATTTTAACGCACTTTGAATTTTTTTTTCAAAGTGCGTAGCCACAATGGTGTTATTGTGCATCTATTATTTTACTTTTTGGTCGGACACATATTTCGGGTTTCCCGTAGCAAATCATGGACTCTGCCATTCTTTCTATTATATTGAAGGGTATCCATCTCTTATCTGCAATTCCACCTATATATTTATACCATTAAATAATATTTCATAATACTTTCACAGTATTTAATAATACTTTTTTTTTTACATAATGTGATTGTGCACTTCCTATTTTATTATTGAGATCCGAGACTTATTTCGAGTCTCCCGGAACAAAACATGGACTATGCCATTATAATGGTATGGGAGGCGGGGGGTGTCAAATAGTGAGCTCAGTGCTCACACTACCTCTCGTTTACATTCTGTTTTAAAGATTTTTCCCAGTATGTATTGCGAAAAAATACTAAGAAAAGAGCGTTTTGTTCCTGTGAAAACACTATAGATTTACCAAAATGTGGTCAAATACTTTAAACTAAACTAGAAATATTGTGAGCAATTAGCTCACTAAATGATACGTCGGCCTCCCATATGAATATAATGGCAGTTTCCATGTTTTGCTACGGGAAACCCAAAATATGTGTCGGATCAAGAAGTAAAATAGGAGATGCATAATGGTATTAATATGTAATAAAGATTCTATGAAAATCTCATCAAATTTCATTCAGTGGTATAAGAGGAGTTGTGGATAAGAGATGGGTACCCAAAAGCGTAACAGACGGACGGACAGACGTACAGCTAGACGGATGGACGAACATTCCGATTATTATATACCCTCCCGCTTTCAAAGCGGGGGGGGGGGTAATGAATTATAA